GCTGACACTTCCCCCCATCCGTGACTCTTCCACTCTCATAACTGGTACGCGGAAGTCATGTGAGGCTGTAATCAAACAAAATATAAAACAAAAAAAGGACCTGCGGTTGGGGTGCTTTTTATGTGGCAGGCCCATTAATTTATTGCCACAACGGATGAGAGACACCTCACAACAAAAGGCGACATTATTATTTCATTATTATGCCAAACGCATCCAGTGTATCCACACCATGCGTCAGACGAAATCCCCCACGAACGCACATACACACACATATGCACGTGCTATAGACGCGTCTCATATTACGCATAGCGCATAGGGCGACGGCGGGTAGGCGAAATGATTCATGCGCTGGCAAATTTTTTGACACCCCGCGCCGCCGCCACGCCACTGATCATAAACAGGGAAGAGTCCTCTAGTCAAGAGTGTCCAACTAGGAGATGCCCTGTATGCACACATTTTTCAATAAGCCCCTTTCTGATCCCCTTAGAGCACACAGAAAGTGAATCTATCCAAGAAAACCTAGGTGTGGCTAGATCGACTCAGTTTGCAATCCTCAAGAATATATATGGGTTCAGAAATGCCACTCACTGCCTGTTACATATATTTGCTCAACCGTAATATACTCTGTTTTACACATTTTAAATGGATGCAGGGTATTAGAAAAGTGCGCCCAAACATATGTTATGCTTAGCTGGGAGGCTGTGGGCTCCCTTGTAATACATATTTACTCGTAAATATTTTTATAGTCTGTAGGCCGTTGTGCATGCGGGATTAGTTCATGCCACATAGCGAATTCAATTTACTTTTAAGATGCTGCACAGGTGCGGTGGGGTTAAGAGCATACACACTCACCTGTCGTAAGGGCTGCAGCTAATCCCGTTGTGTGTAAACCATTTAGCGGCAATTAAAACATAATTGCGGCAAGCGTTGATAGCAATCAAACGGTAAATCATTTGGGCGCAAATGCAGTAAGCACACACAAACACACTCACATAACACAAACAATACACAGACAGCCAAATTGCGCGCGCGAATTCGAGACAATGCGACGAGCGACAAGCGCGCACGCACACACACTCGCATATAGGGGACAACCCACTCACAGGGTGATGCTGGCGTGCTTTAAATTTTTTAAGCCCACTTTAAATTATTGCACTTGAGTGGGGAGAAAGAGTGAGATGGCGAGACAAACAGCTTTGGCACTTGCGACACGTTTTAATTTTGATTGCTGCTGCTGCGGCTGCCGGCGCACGTAAATGCTAACGGTACATTTTGCAAAACATATTCAACGCGCGCGTCACCCAGCGAAGACACAACTGAACCCCGGCGCGTACACAAACCGACTATTTAACATTCCCTTTTTTCTTGTTAGGCTTTGCATACTTTCTGGGAGCGCAATGTTAGCGTGCTCAGAGCGCACCACTGTTAACTGACATTTCATAGCCAACAGTTTCACATGCTCTGAATTTTAGCTACGTTTTTGTTTTCAAACTTATTTTGTATTTATAATTGAAGCTTTAGCTTTTATAAATAAAAAGATAGCTCCACGTAGCATAAAGTCAGAGCACAGAGCGATACAGCACGCTAACAATATTCGCCTATAACTCGCACACTTTCAGCGTATGCAAAGCTAACATGTTGCAAAAATTTTTTCACTTAACCGCTCAGCAGACATTTTACGCTTTTGCTTTCACTTAACCGAGTTTCCGTTTTGGTTAACACGTAATTTCATGCACTTTTTAACTCGCGTTATTACACATTTTGTAATATAAATGAAAATTTTTCCACACGAAGTATAGTTTTGGCGCCTATGCTTACTCGCGATCACGAAATAATTGCTGTACACAAGATGTATCGGTATCGTTTTCCAACCAGATTCGGACAGCTGGCCATCATTTGGTATTTTTTTATAGTATTTTATTGCCTACTGCCTACGTTCACACTGTTAGTAGCACATTTTCATTTTGTGGCGCAAGCGTCATATTTTGTTAATAAATTCCAGCGGATAAGCAACAATAAAGCAATTAAATAAGCTAAAAATATGCCAGCTGTGGTGCGCATTAAGCGCCGCATTGATGAAGAGCCACACACGGCATTTGTATTGAATGGCAAACGCCGACGCTTGCTTAACGATGAAAATGCGCCCGCGGCAGCGACGCCAAACGTTGATAACAAAGAGGAGCTGAACCAAGTGCTGTTAAAATTTGCCGGCACGCTGGAAAAACAGGTGAGTCAGGCGGCAAATACTCAATGAAAGCGCCCTTAGACGAACACGCAAGGAATTCAATTTGTCCTGGTGTGCCGAAGATCAAATACCCTTAAAGGCAACAAGCGAGCTGTTTGTCAAAGGACCATTCACTGTGCTGAATCTAATGTTTAAAACTTTTTTAGGATGACAGCGCCACGAAGCAGTTTGCGGCAGCGCGTCTAAACAAGGCAACGGCCAAGGAGCTGGTGCGTCAAACAATAGATCCTGCTATTGCGAGCGCTCAGCGACGAGATAAACGCCGCGAGGAGGCGCAGCAAATTGCGCGCGAGCAACGATATCGAGTGGTCAACTGTTTGCGAACCACGCTCCACGATGACGTGGAGCAGGATGAGGAGGCAGCCAGCGGCAGCAGAAGCCAAGCGATAACCGCGGCTGAGCGCAGGCAAATAACGATTGTCGACATTGAGTCGCAGCATCCGCAGCGTGAAGAGGAGGAGGAGCTGTCGCCGGAGACGGCACAAAGGCAGCAACAGCCCGCCGATTCGGACATTGGCTATGTCTACGATTTGTATGTGCCGGAGAATGAGCTGCAGGCGCAATATGTTGATATGTTGGATGACAACTATTTAAGGTTCGTCCTAAACATTGAAGAACAACCATTGTTGCACATTACAAATTTCTATGTGTAAAAACATCACATTCTTTGGGGCTAGTCGAATTGTAATTGAATTATGTGTGTGTGCTTAAGTAAATGTTGCTCATTTGTTTGGTCCCCTTATAAAACATCATCTAGATTTAATTTCTATAAGCATAAAGAAACTTGACTATAAATAATTTGTTATTGTAATTCGTCTGATTCTCTATATAAGGTTGTATTATCCGTTTAATTACTACAACAACTGCTACTGGTAACACAGCAACAAGAACAACAACAACTACTACTACAGCAACAACCACGACGATGTGATAAGACGCTGCCACGCCCACCCCCCCACATACACAACCCACCCGCACGCATCACAGTTCAAGCACGGGTCGCAGTCAGCTCCTCAAAAAAAAAAAAACAAAGCAAAAAAACCAAATCAACTTAATTAGCTATTAGTTTTATTATAATTTTTCGCTTTTTGCACCTTGTCACACACACACACACATTAGTTTTATATACTTTGTATTCGAATTGTTTATTACCCTCTCTTTTGCCTGTCCCATTTGTTGCCAGTTGCCAGTTTTTTAAGTTTCTTTCTTCGATTTAAGTCATTCCACAAATCTTGTGCTAAAGTCTAATTAAGTGCTTAGTTTTAGTTTAGCGCCCAATTCAAATAAATATTGATGTATATAACTAGTAGATGCTACCCGGCTTTGCACGGGCCAAGTGTTTTTCTTCCAAATTCCGCATTCGGGAAATTTACGTGCAATCAGGGAAGGGAATTCATTTCGAATTTCTATATCGATTTTTAGAAAGGAGTCGATTGAATAGCAAAAAATTAGCACATATCTATATATTTTCCACGCATTTTCCGATTATGGTGTTGAATTTTTAAAAACCTTATCTAAGTTTTACATACTTCGCTTAAAGGCAACTACTGTACAAAATTCGGATCTCCCACCACGTCAATCATTTAGTTAGTGAAAATTTCAATTGCGTATTAATCAATCACAAAATCTGTTCACTTTCATAGTCTTCGTCCCGTGGATGAGCTCTTCTTTGAGGATTGCTACAATGATGATGAGGACTGTGACTCGGAGGACTCAAATCAGGAGAACTATTATACGAATGAGTATCCTGATGATGACGATGCTGGCGCCTTGGGCTCCGACGAGGAGCTCTGCCAGCAAATGAATAAATTCATGTTTGGTATGTGCCACTCTCCCCACCCCCGTTACAATATTGTTAAAACCACGAATTTATTGCCACTTGTTCGCAGATGATGATGAGGATGAGTTTGCCAGTGGCTCTAGCGATGCGGAGGATTACAATACATATAAGGATCCGTATGTGCACACCGTAGACACAGATGCAGATGGTTTTGTGGATGATGTTGATTTCTTTAATGTGGATCGTCAGGGCAGCGCCTACGAACGTTACAAACGTCGCATACTGCGCGAAGCGGAGGGCCTTGACTCCAGCTCCGAAGATTCTGACAAGGATGAGCCGTATTTTGAGAGCGTCAGCGATCATGGCCAAAATAGCGATTAAAGGGCGCTTTAAAAATAACCTTAAACATATATTTATTTCCATATATTATGTTCTTTGTGTTCCCATAAAAGGCACACCAAATTCTATAATTATTCGAATGTTTATAATCTAAGTTCTTAAAAATATATATTTTTTGTAATCAAGTGAAAAGATTAAATGCGCTTGCAGGTTTATAGCTATATTTTATATCTTTCTTCGACGACACTCTGCTCTTAAGTCAAGACTGTAATGAAGCCTCTTATGGCTGACATGGATTGTTCCTTATCTATTAGACATAAATGTTATTTAGTCTTACACCAAAAAAGTTATTTATGCATTAACATTGTTTTCGATCGATTGTTCCTGTGGCAGCTATATGATATACTGATCAAATCCCACCGAATCTACAATATGCTGAGGCACCAAGATATTGGGTCCTTACCAAGTTTCATCAGGATAGTTTTAAAGCTGAAAATCATTCGAACAGAGAGGTATAGAAATAATAGATTATGTTTACTTTATATAATGTCGACGCCTGATGTAGCATACACTTTGTGGGCTAGTAAATGCCTGCACCTAGGCCTTACATGCTTCATGACAAATTATACGGCACACTGTGAGGGTACGGAACAATCTTTATTTATAATTTAAAGACTAATCGGAGCTATTGCGGCGCTTTTTGTGCTTTTTCTCCTTGGAGCTCTTGCTGCGCTTGGTTTTTTCCTGCTTTATATTATTGGGTTTAATTAATTCGGGCTCAGTTGGAGCAGAACTTGGTTTAGTCACAGGCTGCGGCGCACATCCTTCCATGTAAAGGCGAAGCGTCTCCTCGTCCAGCTTGTCGTTGTCCTTGGGAGGCTTGTAGTCCGCCACATGATCGACGCGCAGTGTGCGATCGATGATTTTGATGCCGTTTAAATTGTCCACGGCCAGCACCGTGGAGCGCTGATCCTCGTAGCATAAGAAACAAAATCCTTTTGATTTGCCCGTTTTGCTGTCTCGCACCAGATTTATGTTTACAATTTCGCCATACTGGGAGAATACGCAGATGATGTCACCTTCGGAGAGTGTGTATGGAAAGCCGGCTACAAATATCCATGCAGAGTCACGGTACATATCATGCCAGCTCTTGGCACTGGGATTTTTAAGCTCGAGTTCGCTTAATTTAAGCACATTTCGCATATTCGTTAGCGGATTCATTTTATGCGGTTGAATTTTTGTTTACATATGCGATTTACTAGTGTGACCGCATGCGGTTACAGCAAAAATGCTAAATTGGTATCGCATGCAAACCAATCAAAGTGAAGCAACGAGTCTGTTGTACAATACTACTCTTAGGTATCGTTTGGTCTGCGTTGGTCACACCGCGTTCAGTAGTACTTTTTAGTTCGTCGTCGTCGGTTCGGTGGTCGTTTGTGCGTGCGCCGCAATTTTGTTGTCGCGTTTCCAATCAAAAACCCTGCAAATTTTTGCTAGTGAAAACTTCTTGAAATGTTGTAATATAATTACAATTACATGCAAGTGCTTCAATGTGCAATTAAGGTGTGTTTATTGTTTGGTAAATTTATTAAATAAGCGGTTGCCTGCTGTCCAGCAAAACTCGCATGTCTGCCTGAATGTGTGTGCGTATGAATGTGTGTGGCTGTGCGCTTGGCCGCTGTGCATGTGCATGTATGTGTGCGAGTGTGTGAAAAGCAAAAGAAAAAAGATATGCTGCGAACGAACAGCGGCCGCAGCAGCAGAAAAGTATCTCTTCTTCTATTTAAAAATGTGTGTCAGTGTATGTGTATTGTTAAGGCATAATAAATAATAGACGCTTGTTTCTGTTTCTCAAGCATTTCAAAACGCTGTCTTTTTTAATTGTGTTATTGTTTTATCGTTTTCCCATCAGCGCGAATTGTGTGTCAAATACGGCAAAAAAAAACAGTAGCTTACAGTTACCGAGTATTACAAAAACGCCCCATTTTGAGGGGGGTCAACATCTTTCACCGCCTCCCGCATCTGCTGTGTGGTTTCGTCATACGTTATTGTCGCCTCTTGCTCTCACTCTTACTCTGTGTGTCTCGTATTCCCACGCATGGATCGCCGCTCGCATAATGTACGCATTTTGCCTTTTGCTTTTGTTTTTGTTGTTGCTGGTATGTAAAAGGGCAAATACATGTGTATATATGTATATATATATATGTGTGTACGTATATTATTTTGTTGCTTTTACACTACATTTATGTCACCCTGCTGGTCACACTTACACACAACACACTCACACCTGAGACAACTCCACCATATGCCTGCTGCCTGCTTGTCTGTCTGCCCCTCACTCTGCTCGGTTCTGTCTGTCTTTCTATCTGTTTAACACATTCCACCCCATTTCGCGCTGTAAATGCCGCCCGACTGCTTGCTCCTTCTCCTTTTGCCTGTTCATGCCACTTTTTGTTTTTGTTTTTTGCTTTTACTTGTTTCGAGGCTTTGGCTTAGGTGTGGCCGTACTTTAGTTGTGGGCTTCCTTTACACAACGGCGCGGAAGTGGTAATAAAAAAATTACAAAAAATAAAAAAAAAAACTGTGTGTGCCCACTGTGTTGACATTGAACTCGCCAGCAATTCCAGTTGCGCCTATCGTTGTCTTCGTCTCCCCATCGCCTACGTCTGGAAGTGCGCCGCCTTTGCTGCTGCACTGCCAGTCGCGGCGTGACTTTCCCAAAAAACAAATTTAAAAAAAAAAATAACAAAAATCCAACTCCTGTCGCAACGGCCTTTCATTTTTGGTCGCTATCGCAGCATTTACTTTTTTATACACTGCAAAGATATATGCAAAATATAACGGGTCTAGTGAACTAGGGATATTTGTTTTAAAATTACCTTTGAAGGGATTTTTATTTCTCATTTGATTTAACAAGATGCAAAGGCTGAATTAATCACGTTTTCTTTGCTTTCAAAGCAACCCCTACTTGCAAGATCTGTTTTAACCCTGAAGACTGTACATACATACATACATTATTATTTCGTAAGTAAACAACAAAATCAGTTCAAGATCGTTTCTTTTGCGTTTGTTCTGCTACCACAGAATCAGAACATTTTTCTTAGACACAACTTTACTATATGTTATAATTTATTACTCTACTCAGACGATGTTGAATGTTTAATCTACATAGAGTATATGCCCATAATATTCGCATATCTTAAAATGTTTTATATTTGCGCCCAAAGAGCATCTGTAGTTCGTCAATGTAAAATTTTTGTTTCTCTGATTTCTAATTGTGCAGTCAAAGATTTTTTTCTTTTTACTATTTACATATATATATAAGTTTTTTTTTGGGCAAGCTTTCTCATTGTGTTGTGTATCTGTATTAGTGTTATATGTTATATGCGATATAGCGTGTAACGAGTACTGTTATTATTATGTGCCTCACGTTTTAAAGCCAAAGATTCGCGCTGCGACTGCGCACGATTATGGCACATTTCATAGCTGCCAATGCGATGAAAACTGCCTCAGACCGAAACGTGTCAAGTTGCCAGATAACTACAGATGCAACGAATAAACATATGCATATGTATATATTTTATATATATATATATATATGCATGTGAATATATGTATATGTGCCTGGCTCGTGTTTAGAGCATAACGTGCGCATAGAGTTCGATTAATTTCGTTGCGCCTCGGTAGCTGTGCACTCAACTCAAACATCCGCTCAAACACACACACACACAGACTCGGTCGTACACCTACACACATTACACCTACTGTTATTGTTGTTGTCTTTTGTCTGGCATCGTACAAGCACTTCGCTTCTTTTTTTAACCCTTGCCTTAAGCCACAACTGACCAACTGGCTGCTGCTGTTGGTAACATCTGTTTCTTGTGGCTTATTAAACAGAAAACAACAACAGCGGCAAAAAAATACGATCAAAACAAGTAAGTGTTGTGAGCGTGACTGTGCACGACTAGCACATACCCAGCAATGGTGTGGCTAAAGAAGAAAATAATAAAAAGGAATCACTTAATTGGTAGTAAGGACTAAGAAAATACCTACAATATTTGTTAAGTGATTTTACTGCTAAATAAAATAAATCGCTAAGCTCCAAAAGAATAATCTATTGATTTATATAAATATTAAAATTTAGATATATACATTTTTAATTTACTTTATAGAGCTTGCTGTAATTATATTTTCATTTTGCACATAAGATTGATCCCTACACACTATAAAGTGATCATTTTATCCCTTTACTTTTATACTGGACAACAAAATCCGTATATTTGATGTATAATTAATCAATATCAGCTATATAAGGAACTGCATGTTTGTCTAGTTTCATAGCTCTAACTCCTCAAATATAATTGAGTGCTAATGATTATTATAGTGAGGGTCTACTGTACTGCGACCCACAATAGTAATTATCTGCTTATTTAGCTCGCTTTCATCTTTCACTCATTTCCTCTGCCCCCTTTCTTAAGCATTTATCTCAGCATACTCCAATTGATGCCATTGACGGGGTATATGACAAGCAAGTGCAAAAAATGATTTTACACCCGTTTTTTGTCGCCCTTGTCTTGTTGCCATGTTTGTAGTTGCTTTTGTTGTTGTTGTTGTTTTTGCTGTTTACACCTGTGCCTCGCATTTCGCTTTCGCATATTGTTTATTATTTACAGCATGTAAATTCTTGCTAGCCACGCCCCCATATTCATAACATTTTCGAGGGCCACATACCAGCAAAACCCACACACACACAGAAACGTCATATGAAAACAGAAACTTGTGGCGCGCGGGTTTTTTATTTCATCTGCGTATCAAATAATTGAGCTCAATTGATTTTAATTGAAACTGACAACCGCCGCTTGTTGTTGTTTATATTTGCTGCTGCTGTTGTTGTTGTTGTAGTCAGCAGTCATATGAAACAAAAAGCAAACAACATAATGTTGATTTTGATGATGGAACTGATGATTATTGTATTTGACGAACTGCGCCTTAGAAACTAAATGCAGCAATTTGAGTAGTTAAAAAAAATTAGACAACATTTTCGAAAAAGAGTCAATGAACATCAAAAGTTCCCCAATGACGGACTGAATTAGACCATTTGAACTGTCTTTTGTATATAAATTTACCTTTACTGAGCTAAGAAATGAGTTCTTAAGTAACTTTTGTATATCTGCCCGCTCGTATTCTGTTTATAAATAAATCTCGCATAGCCCTTGGTAAAAACGTTCACAATGTATGTTTTTCCCATTTTTAGAGGACATTTCAATGTGTGCATATACCACAAATGAAACTTATAATTTAAAAAATCAGATTTTTCTCAATATTTAATCATTTGTGTACTATTATTAGATTTTTTACAACTTTATTAGGTAACCATAAACGGTCGCTTATTAAACATAAGATTCGCTTTTAAATAAACTAGTTTCACTAATTTCGCTAGTGATCATTGATAAGAATTTCGAAATGCATTATCTATAGACTTTATTCAATCACGTATTATTTAAATGTTTGTAAAACTATAAAGCCTATATATATGGCTTACATTTATCAGTTTGTTTGATTTGTATGCTGACTAAGTACTTGCTTATACATCTGTATATACCTATCTCTATAAGTATATGTGGCCTGTTGAGCTACATTTTTGGCATTCAGTGCAGGTTTTCACCATGACTCATCCATGTGACACACAATCTAGCTTTTTTTCCGATAAAGAAATCAACATTTATCTATAGATTTACATATGAATCACAGATATGGCTTTGATATTGAATACAGCATTAGATATGATAATATTTTCAATGGTAATTTAATAATTACACAATTGGGTATGTAAAGCAATTTTTACTTCAAAGGGCTAAACATTCCAGAACGTTTCATTATTTGTACACCTACAGTTTTAGTAAATTTTCAACCAGTTTAAAACCGGTTCTTTTTGCAGGTGCACAAGCTGATTTTCTTTTCGGATCATATCTTAAAACGTATCTGAAATATGTTCTAGAACCCTTTCACACGGGGACTTAGAAAACGATTTCTCGATCATTTTTAATCTGTTAACAGCCAGCAGGTTGACAGAGGTCACACATTTCCTTTCTTTTTAGGATCGTTTAGAGAAAAGCCACTTCAAACCACTTTAGAGACTTAAAAAACAATCATCCCGTTTCACCAGTTTTTCAACCTGTTCAAATCCTGATGTAAACAAGTCGCTTTGAAACTGATTTATAATAGCTTAGAAACAGGTTCCTAGCTGAGATGTCCCTTTGTACCCTTTCCATAAACTTAACACCCAATCTTATCTTATTCAACCTGTAAAGTTGTATTTTCTTGGTACAAAAGTCAACAGATCTATTTTAAGAAATTCCTGTATATAGTTCGCATTGATAGATAGCTAAACATAGAAACCAAGAAATGCCACAAAAACAAATAAATGGCAAACGGCAAAAAAAAACAACAAAAGAAACTGAAATTTCTCGTTCGAATTGTTGGAATATTTAAGCATATATCTATAGTATACTACGCCTGAATAAATAGCGCATTTTATTCAACCATAAGGCACATTTCAGCTTTCATTCATTCCAATATTCGCATTTGCTTATCAATTGTAGCGCGTTCTCTTGGCTCGTGGAGATCTTGTTCGTTATTTAACAATTTATATGCGCACACACCATATTGAATAATAATTAAATTATATGAAATTAAAAAAGCGCTGACGTTTGCTTCCAAATATATGTGGCTCGCGCTTTCCAGCAGCTGTTTCGCATATTTGTTAATGTGCGAATTTATTGTACACTTAATTTGTTGTTTATTTTTGAAAATTTTCGGCATGCTGGCGCTAAGAGCTCTAATAAAAAACAAAAATGGAAATAAAAAACTGTTTAAATATGCGGCATGTGTGTTGGCCAAATTTTATTTTGTTGTTTTTTATTTTATGCTTTTTTTTTAGACACTGGCTTCGCGCAAAAAACTTTCACTTCCATTAAAAAGTTTTGTGTGTACCTGTGCGCTTGGCTAAAGCCGCGGCAAATGTCGACGTCGACGGCGACAGCGACGTCGACGTCAGCGTCGTTAAATGACATTAGGTTAGGTTTTATGGCTCGAAGCGCTTAGAGCCCCAGCGAAATTCTGCACAAAATGTCAAAGCAGAAAATTTACATGAACACTAAGCGATTTCGCTTTTTTTTTCACAATTTTTTGTCTCTTAATTTACTAAATGTAATGCATTTATAGAAAGCGAGCGGTTAGTAGTTCTCTCTTTTCTATCAATATATGTATATTATTAAAGAATAAACTAACTAGGTTACAATTTTATATGAAAAGTGGTAGTGATGAGGTGTTCAGAGTGGTTCGAAATAGTGTTCCAGCCATTATTATAGTTTTATTTAGTTAAAATTTTATTTAAGATATAAATAATAGTTCCTAGGTCCTTGTAAATAGTCTGTTAACTGCGTTAAAGCTAATTTATATGACATAAAAGTAGCTCAGGAAATTATTAGAGTTTTTAAGTATCGTTCGCTGAAATAAAGCTGTATTAATAGTTTTTTAACTAAGTAGCACAACTTTTAATCGAAAACTATTTGAAACTTAATTAAATATAAATATAATTTCTTTTATCCTTAAATTATGAACTACTTTTATGCCTCGTAAACTAATTGAATCTCAATTAAATATTATTCCTTTAGTCCTTTAAAGTTTGCAATATACAATTAACTACTTTAGGTTAAGTTCATAGAAAGGTATCAGCTCACATTTGAAGCATTTTAAAGTTTTCTTTTTTATATTAAAAGCAAGGGCATTCAAACTTCGGTCTTTGGCTTGCAAGCTTTCAATTCAAACGATTCGTGGCTGCACCTGTTATGTGACCGGAAGTTGAAAGCTGCGCAATTACGAGGTATGTCTGTAATGAGAGAGTCGTCTAAAATGTTGGTTGGGCTGGTTGCGGACACAACTAAAAATAAACGCAATGAAAGCGTTTGCCAGCGTTGACTAATATGCAGCTACATTTAGACTAATTACGGTGCATGCAACGAAACCGCCCGCCGCCTCTCAACAACCCAACCCGAACAGTGGCAACTTTTTTGTGAGTCAGCAGAGTGTAGACTGTTGAGGGGGGGGTGGAATCTCTCGAAAAAGGTTCAACATATGTAAACAAATCCACATTGTGAGTCAGTCGAGACAATCAGATCAGATTTCGCGAGCTGCGACCAGCGACTGGCGACTGGCAAGTGCCTCGTCTCGGGTCTCGTGTCTCGTGTCTCAGGTCTCTGGTCTCGAGTCGCGGGTCTTGGCTCTGTCAACTGAGGCGCAGATTGATACGACACAGCTCGAGAGATTAGCAACCAGTAGCGCCGCAATGGAACCGGAATTATATCAGCCTTGGGGCCACAATTTGGAAATCTGCGCTCAGTGGGTTGCTTATAGCAGACGAGACACCCCATAGTTTTATATAAATACATGTTTTTTTTCCCATCATATTTCATGTGTCAAGCACATAACGAGAGTGCATGCACAAACACACACACACAGACAGACTATAAAAGTTATATGGTCATTGAAATTGGCCAGTTTAATGACTTTATGCGCACTCATTAGTCACTGTCCATGAGAAATTTGAAATTTGTATATTCCATTCAATTGTAATATCATAGCTATACTATATACACATAGTTTTAATTGGCTTAAACTGCAAAAGTGTGAATCATTTATTAAAGCTAGTCATCAGTTGCTTAATATATGTTTATAAACATATATTATCAAGTGGTTAAATTTACTTGTTATAATTGTGGTGTAATTAAATTCATTTTAGCTAGCTTCAAGTGTGAGTAAGAATGACACGCACGAGCGCTTTGTTGTGCTTTTATTAAATATTAAAAAGTAATATATTTAGCCCGGGCGGGCTAACCACAAGAGAACCTTCGGCTTACTTTAGAGAACCCCAAGGAGCTCTCAATCCATGCTCAAACATCTTCTGTACTCAAATATGGATGGAAGCTGCATTTATTTTTCTTCTCTCCATGTGCATTATATTTTACTATGGGATATAGTCATATATAGGATATATATTAGTTAATAATGACGAGTTTCAGGACCTGTAATAAAACAAAGCTTGATCAAAAAATATAAACAATTTTCATTCATTTAAAGCGCTTCCAAAGTGTTTCAGTCTCATATCTCAGGAAGTATTAAAGCTACATTAATCAGTTTCGAATTTCAGCTTATTCCAAATTTAATAAAATGAAAAACAAAACGTGCTGAAATTATATCTTATATCTAGCTTTTTATCAGCTCATCAACTGATGCTTCTGTTAATCAGCAAACGCCAAGTTCTCACGCTGTGCAAAAGTACTTTTTTTTGCATTTCCCATATATATATGCTTCCTAGAAACCATTTACACTTAATGCCCTAGAATCAGTGAGCAGCATTTCCCGGGGCTGTAATCTGCTGGGATGTGGCTGCAGCACCTCCTACTTCCTCTGCCCAGACGGATCTGTTAATGCAGGGGTCTTCTATTGTGTTGCACTTGTTGAGCGCAACGACAGCATGTCAGGGACTCGGCAGCTAAATGACTACCGACCGACTGACTGACTGACAACCAAGTTAAGCACATTATGCATGGCATATTGTATAAATGTATGTATGTGTATATATACGTAGTTACAAGTCTTTTATGGCCGACAACATCATTAGTTAGTGTGTGTTCTCGCTCTAGAAACGCCGCAGAGCAGTTGTGACCCAGTTAGTGCCATAAATTAGCACAAGCCTCCGACTGCCAGTTACTGCAACAGACAACTTAGAACGTCTGTGTGCGTGTGTGTGTGTGTGTGTGCATTGTGCATTTATTAAATGCAAGTACGCATACGAATGCGGGTCTGAGTATCTCAGTATCTCTTAGATACTCGCACGCACTGCAGCTCAAGTCGCCTTAGTTTGGCCTGCCAGCCAAAGCTGTTTGTATACCCTGTAAGCAGCAGGCAATGGGAGGCATAGCCACACCTAGTTCACTTATTTCCTCACAGCAATAAAAGTCTTTTCTTCTCCTACGAAAGACAGATTTTCCAGCTAACATCAAGTTTTATAACACATTTCAAAATATATAGTTTTTTTTTTATTAATTTATTGCTTAATAATAAACAAAGAATGCGATTCGCCTTAATAGAAAGGCAAATGCGGTGACACCCACGTGATGGTCGCTCATCCTTAAAGATAAAGAAAACTAAAGTAAAAATCAAATTGTTTTTCATGGGTTGACTTTTGTATAATACCTTAATATAACTTTTTTACATGTTACGTGACTGAAAAAGAATAACAGAAGAAGAATTTTATATTATACGTATGTGTAATAATATTAATCTGAAATTTATAAGTGTGTATGTGATATATCTACTTTTGTTTTTATACCCAATTGGAGAGTATTAGAATTTTGTCATGCATAGAAGTAGTAGGAGAAGAAGTAGGTTTTTGTATGTACAACTTTTTAGTTTATCAAGATAGCTTGAACAAACTCGGCATTTATTAGTTTTACCATTATAAATATCTTATTAGCATCAGACCAATGTATTATTTAGCTGCCATATGAACGATCTGTCGAAAATTAAGTTCTGGTATGAAAAACTTTCTTCTTTGTCAAGATGTCTTGACCAACCCCAACATTTACTATTTAAACTATGCTGCTTATATATGTAGCAAGTCTTTTCGCACTGCTATATTATATAGGTCTATGGAAGAATCGGTCGATTAATAGAACAGAACATTCGGTCAATAGATATTGTATCGCAAAATATTCTGTTATTAAACTCAGTACTTACGAGCTTCAGTACTCTTACATATATCTGCAAAACCGAAAGGCAAATGTCTACAAGGGTGTTAGATCTTCGGCTTGCCTACGATATCCCCACATTCTCGTTTTTTTTTTTTGTACAAACCAGTCTTTTTTTTCATAAATAAAATACTATCTAGATTTAATTTATATCAATTTGCACAGAATATCAAAATGATTATTATTAAATAAAGCCATATTAAAATGTTGTTCTCTTTGAATTTGATGGTAAACCACAATTTGTCAGGATTGTTTTGAGTACGTGATTTAATTAGCATGAAACGAGTTTATGTCTACAACTGACAATTACTGAGTATAATTATTAATAAACATCATTATTTAATTGAGCATGTCTGCTTACAGGGTAACTCGTAGTTACGTCTTTAAATCTTAAGCATTTTTACTTGTCTCAATTGGGTCAGTCGTGAGAGATAAAAAGTAACAAAAAAAAAAAAAAAAGTAAAAACCTGACTATTAAAAAGCCATTAACTATTGTTCAATATTAAGTTATTTCATAGCATTAATTAGTCTACAGAGGCTGCCAGCGATTGAAATCGCTACCCTGGCACACACACACACACACACAAATATACACACAGACACACGTACACACTGCACATGGGGCTTAATTGATTGGAGAAAGTGACGTACATGATTTGGCTGACCGTTCGGTTCGGTTTCGACTATTGCCTGGGAAAATGTCTTCATCTTTGGCTGCGATGGCAAAGTGCACGAGCAGGCTAAGAGCCTAGCTGCAACTGCCAATTGCAACACCCCAAAGCAACAACAACAACAACAACAGCAGCAGCAGCAGCTAATCAAGCGAAACATTGTAAATGTTCGAGATAAAATTCATTTGATATATATGTATGCAATAACGCGTTGTAACGGTACGAAAAAAAAAACCGATTACAGCAATTGCAGCAATACAAATTTGAATTGAAAAACATTCGAGGCAAAAACAGTTGCTGGGCATATTGATTATCATGTCGCAAACGCAACGGTCAAGAAATTAGCCCAGATACTGCTATTAACACAAAAATTAATCTTCAAAAAATATAATTTAGCAATCTAATCGATTGAAAGGCATAAGGCAGATAATATCTGTTCAGATACTGATGTTCCAGTATCCGAAATTCGCAAGCAATTTAAATCCAATAATTAAAAGAGATTCTTATTCAAATGTGAAGAGATATTAAGAATGGGAAAGTAAGGTAGATATTTGCCTTTTGCATATATGTGAGGAGCATATTTTAACTAATAAATCCCAGATTTGGTCAAGTTGTCTTGAGAAACAAAATAGCTGTTCATGCAAGAACCTACTTTTCGACAGATTGTTCTAATGGCAGCTATATGATATAAGTGGTAGTCCGATCCCATCGGCTCCGACCTATGTACTACCTGCAACAGAAAGACGAACATCTGCCAAGTGTCAAGACGATAGCTTTAAAACTGAGAAACTAGTTTGTCTAACTTTAAGGATACATTTCAAATGAATATATCTCACATGAACATACTTTAACAGACAATCGTAATCAGCATAAAGCCGAACCGTAGCAATACTTGTTTTAAAAACATTATAAGATTCGATCGCCGATTCGCTGAATTCCTTATAGTCTTAACCATACGAACCCCTTTTGAACGTTCAGTACAGATTACTCACTCAATCAAGTAGCTATAATATAAAAATATGAACTAATATTACTCCAAAGAATATGCATAGCTATGCTATTAAAATATCAATAAATTATAGATCATTAATAGTCTATGAATTGATCATCGTAGCTTAAGCTTAAGTAGTTAACTTAAAAAATCACAAATAGTTCCAGTAAACATAATCTAATAATTCTAACATTTATCACTTCGTAATACCAAAGGGAATGTTGTATTTATACGGTAATAAATCTTCATAACTATATCATATTTCAACAATGCTAACTAATTTGTATTCAACTAAAGATCACAAAAAAATGTTCATGGTTAAGCATATATGATCCTAAAATTGTTATTAATATTACTATGTATACAGTACATTTACAAGAAAATAAATTATCACAGACCAAATATCTTCCATTTTCCCATAGTAAATCCCATAGATCTAATAAAAATTGTAGTAAATATCTCTAAAAAATGCACATAATAATTGAACATCTTATTAATTGAACATCATAAAAGCATTGTGCATGCTCCATTTATAGGCCAATAAATCATAATACTTAGATCTGTTATACAATCTATAAATGAGCTCCGAATAGCTCCAACTAGCTATTTAACTTCATTAAAGAACTGCTATGAAAGACCTTAAATGCTATCAAAAACAATCAAACCGTATCACTTTATAATGGACCGACTGTCAAAGGTATCATTAATAAAGTTAATCTCACGCACCTATTCATGATTTTTATCCCATTTCCCGTTTTTGCCTAGGCCACATTACAGCTACATTTGGCCGCATTGATCTATGGCTATTTCTTATTTGTATTTCCTTTTTTTTTCTTCTACCTGGTTTTTTTGTGTCTTTTGTTTTTGTGTGTTTTGTTTCCATTTTCCCAGCTCGTTTTGCCGTTTGTTTTTTACCAAATTGTTTATTTCGCTTAACGCTTTTTTATGTGCACATTTTGTTGTTGTTGTTATTGTCGCTTGTCGCTTTTGTCGTTTTGTATTTCTTTATGTGCTGCATTTTCGATCCGTTAGCGTCAACATTTTTAATAGTTTTGTTGCATTTGATAAACGTAGCCGGTACGCCCGTCAGTCCCCCCTCCCCCTGCCACGCCTGATGTGGCAGCTGCTGCTGCTGCCCGGTGTCCAGTGCCGGGTACTGGATCGCCCCCCTCCCCCTCCCACTCCCTCTATCCTCAACTAAAACTCGTTTCCGTCTCGCTCTGCGATTTCGCCGACGCCAACGGCAGCGCCAGTCTCTCTGTCTTCCCTCTCTTTCGCTCTATGCGTGTGTCTCTGTCTCAATCGCTGTCCAAGTGTTGCACCCTTCCCCCCCAACGACTCCTGCTGCCCAACCCCTGGCTAGCTTAATTTATGAAAGTTTAAATGTTGCAGGCCGTTGCATGCATTTGGTGTCGCCTGTAAATCAGAACTGCCGCTAGGTGAGTCGATTGCGATTCCAACTGGTTGCTTATAAATATTTATTGTATCTGCTTATAGATGGGATATACTTGCAGATATATATATATATATATATTTATATATGAGTGTGGTGTGCCACATCCTTAAGCGGCCAGTGGTTGTGTGTGTCTGAGCCACTGGCCTTATTCCAAATAAAGGAATTCCAGACACGGCTCACAGCATTTGCCCATAGAGAGTTTTGCGCTGGCTGAAAGTAGAACACGCCGGCTTGGGGTAATTGATAAAAAATACGTGCGTGTTGTTAGAAAGTAAACGCGAACAGCAGCACACAGCATACACTGTCAACATTACGCATTTAATAAAGCACACTAAAAAAAAAAAACAAAAGAACAATTTCACTCAAAATGTGTGCATTAAACGTCAACACAATTTACATATTTAAAATTACGCCAATAAAAATTTCGCTGTAATAACAAAATAAAAGAAATTTCCATAGTGCAAATCGTTCGATTAGTACACTTGAAAAAATTGCATAGGCTCAGCAATTTAATAATCTACACTCTGTTGAACAGTAAGCCCAGACATAAAACTCACAACTCTTTAAAAAATTAGACAGCTTTCTTATTCATGTTATTTCATAACAATATTTTTTGCCAGTGTAAAACAGTCTGCAACCCACAAAGCTGCGCAGCTCAGTTGATTTTAGAGTCATGCAAGTATTTTGGGGGGCTTCATTGACGGCTTCCGTCATTATTTTGATGCAGTCGTTATAAGTGTGTGCGTGTGCGTGCGAGCGTGTATGTGAGTGTGTGCCCCTATACAATTTCAAAGAAATAACTAAAGAAATCTCTGAGTAATTGGAAATTTATGGCCATTGACTGCCCGGCGAGTCATGCTTGAAGCAAAGGGCATAAGGCAGCTCGACTTTAAACTGCCCTGTAATAAATAATATGCATACAGCTGCTAATTGTTATATTGTATATATTCCATCAATCGTAACCTGATCAATCTATAATCAAGAATCGATATGGTTTGAATGTATATCTCAAATGGTCATGCTTTTGAATCTTCTACCAAGACCTTTCATTGGCTACAGCAGACATTTATTTCATCAACATTTTGAATTATCAGAACTATTTTCTTCGTTAATAGTAACATTCACACGTTCCATATAAAAACCTATATAGAAATATTATCGGCAAGGCAGCTTGATTCAATTTGTTTTCATTCGTTTCTTCCAGATGACTAAATCCGTGTAATCCGTGAGCGTATACCATGTCCGAGAAGGTGAGCAGCGCTCTGGCGGCACAACTGCATGCGCATGCGATGGCAACAAACTCCTCCACAGAGACTGCCACCTGCCAGCTGCACCCAATGATTGGTTCCAAGGATGCGCCGCTGCAATTCGAGACGGATGCACCGGCGTCTGCAATCGGTGCGCAGCTAAACTTTAAGATTGTGCCAGTGGAGAGTTTGGGTGGCCTTAACTTAGGGCTGGGCAGCAGCTGCCAGGAGATGTTTGCCTCGATGAACACATCACAAATCTCAAATGCATCCACAGAGTCCAACTGCAGTCCGCTAGCTGCGATAGCAGTGCCGCCACCCAAACCAAGCAGGCACATGGCCGTGCAGCCTTTGAATAGCGTGAGTAAACCAGGAAGCCTCAACCCTGAATCCTCTATCGAAACTATATATATTAATCTATAATTTATTCACAGAAATCCTGTCGCTTTCCCAAGCTGGAGGAGTGCGCCCATTTTCATTATGAGCGCGTACAGCTGGGCGCCCTCTCGGTGCAGCTGCTGGACGACAAATCGGAGCAGATGGGCAGCAGCGCCTCCCAGTCGATTGGTGGCGAGCTGGCGCACAGCTCAATGCGTTCGGCTGCGTTCACGCCTGAGAGCTGCTGGTTCATCATACGCGTCTGTCCGCAACGCTGTGAACCGTTCCTGATTAAGCGCAGCTACGAGAACATGCAAATGCTGGACGAGATGCTGCATCGTTGTGTCTACGACCGCAAGATTAGCGGGCTGCGCAACATGTGCGAACTGGAGGCGGATGCGCAGCTGCAGAGTGAACAGGATGTGGAATATGCGGTCGCCAAGTATTTGGAACGCTTTTCCAAAATAGCCTCCGATTCGCTGACATGCGGCACTATACTCACCTGGCTGCAGTTGGACAATAAGGGACGCCGCCTGCCGCTGGCCGATGGGGAGACACAGCGTACGATCAATACGCCAGCGGTGGGCGCGGCTTATGGCGTACGACGCTATCAGGCGCAGGCTCCAGACGAGATTAACATTGAGGTGGGCGACATGATCTCGGTTATTGATATGCCCAGTCCGGCGGAATCGATCTGGTGGCGCGGCAAGAAGTCGCATCTGCAAAAGTCCCTCTATGAGGTTGGCTTCTTTCCGCAGTCCTGTGTGGCCACTATTGGCGACAAGGTGCCACGGAATTTTCCCATGCCCGCACCGCTGGTGGGTCATCTAGATGCTTCGCCCACGAAGCCGGTGCTGCGCAAGCATGGAAAACTGATTGCATTCTTTCGCTCCTTCATATTGTCGCGTCCTTCGCGGCGTCGCCTCAAGCAGAGCGGCATTTACAGGGAGCGTGTCTTCTCTTGTGATCTGTCGGAGCATCTGCTGAACAGCGGCCAGGATATACC